ATTCAGACCGACAGAGAAACCATTTGAATTATTTGAAGGTACGAACAACCTATTTTATCTGATTTTAGAATCGCCAATGAACACATTTTGTCTTTTGTACAAATTAAACCATTTCGTACTTGTAATTTGAGTAAAGCCTTCCATTAGAAAGACAACTCGCACGTGGAGTGCATGGAAACGAGGCTACGATACTTATAAAATCTGAAGTAAAACACTTTCGCAGCAAAATGCCGCCAAAATTAGCATCAGGAACACTAATTGCACGGATGCAAAATGCAACTYATAATCTGTACGAACTTTTCGACGAATTTAATACGATTTATGAAACAAGACCACAAATAGAAAGACTTAACCGCATATTTATCCAAGTTGAGTCTAAATACAGAAAAGTTAAACAACAACTCGAAGATATCGCTGATAGACTCATAGATGAAGGTGCATCTACAGAAGACGAAGCATCACAAGCCAACAGAAAGTTTGGAAAAGAAATAAAGGCCGACTATTTGCAGATTGCTGAAAAGTTCGCGCTGTACGAAAACGAATGCAGTACACCAAAACAAGAAGGCGCAAAACAGTTTGACAACGCAGGATCTCTGGAGGCCATGACAGCAGCAGTTACAAAGATGGCAAAATCCCTAGAAGTGAAATCCAATCCCAGTGGTCTAGAAAGAYTGTCTGTCCCGTCATGGGATGGAACCCGCAGATCTTACGCAACGTTTAAGAAAGAATTCAACCACTGGATGACGAAATACAAACAAGACGAAGAAGAGCAGCTACAACGCTTCCGGAAAGCCATGCCAAAGGGCTGGTGGTCAGATCAAGTCACAACCTGCAAAAGTATCACTCAAGCTTGGAGCATCCTAGATGTCGAATTTGAAGACAAAAGAAAACTTATGGACAGTCTCTTAACCGAGATAAATGATCTTAAAGCCATCAAGAGAGACTCGAAATCTCTGATGAGTTTTAGCACCACAGTACGCAGGTACGTCAACGACATGGAAGACAATGACTGCTCAGTAACGAAATCTACAGAGTCACCATTTTTCATGTCCCAGCTTCTTTCAAAACTGGATCCCAGAGATAACGTAGAGTACGGCCGYGAGATGCAAAGACAGCGCAAGYCAGAAACTGTCATGACGCTGATTGAATGGCTTCATCARGAGGCAAACCTCCGATCAAGGGGGAAGCGCGACGACAACAACGCTGACGACGACAAGGCAGATAAACAGAAACGATCCATATTTTACCGAAGGTCAGACAGTCACGCCGTTGACAGCACCCAAGCCTTCGCAGACGACGACTGTATACTCGGATGCCCTACAAAACATCTACTGCAAACCTGTACCATCTTCCAGAGCTTAACAGTAAGTCAACGCTGGGATATTGTCAAGCAGAACAAAMGTTGTCGCAAGTGCCTTAGACTACACCATACCAACGATTGTCAAAAGGCCGACGGAACATCGTGTGACAAATGTACGAAGAACCATCACCGCCTTCTCCACAGCGAAAAGAAAGAGAATTTACTAGTACCATCTTTCATCAAGCCACCTGCTATCAGCAACAATAATGCACAAACCAGTTCCCGAAGTGAGAAAACAAAATCTGTTGCTGGACTTTGCCCAATACAGAAAATAAAAGCAGTTGACGACAAAGGAACATCTGTAGAAYTGCTCGCTATGCTTGACAGTGGATCAAACACAAGTCTTCTGTCRAAGAGCGCAGCAAAACGGCTCAACCTGAGTGGATCTAAAACTCACCTCACCATGAATCTAGCTGGAGGAGGTACGAGATCAGAAGAATCTGACCTCCTGGAGATCACGATCATGCCAATCAACGAACAGAGTATCAAGAAGACTTTGTCAGTATATACAGTGCAAAAACCATGCAGCAGTGCCAAGACGGTGTCAAAMAAACTCGTAGAAAGTTACAAACACCTCAAACAAGTATCAGATGAAATATACCTTGCTGGTGGGACAGYAGATCTTCTAATCGGAACTGATTTTGCGGATGCATTTGTCGATATACACTCTATCACAGGAGAGACCSGTGAACCCATCGCCAAAAGAAACTGTTTCGGTTGGTATATCCTGGGACAGTTCCACTCAACGTCGATGACCGAAAACATCCAGTTCGTGGATGTAGGAACAGTAAGCATTGCCGAAGACATCAAATCACTCATCCAACAGGACCAACTAGGAATTAAGCCAACGGAGTTCTGTACATGCAACGACAAAGTTCTTCAAGAGAGCAAGTTTATCAAGTCCCTTTCAAAATCAACAACCCTGGTCGAAGGACGGGTGCAAATTAAGATGCCCTGGAAAGATACTGGTCCGCCTAAACAAAGCAATTATGACATTGCCTATAAAAGAATGAAATCATCGGAGAGGAGCTTCAACAAGAAGAACTGCTTCGAAGTTGTAGAAAAGGAAGTTCAGAAACTTATCGATCAAGGCTTTATCACACAAGTACCATCAGATCAGATTGACCACAACAAACCAGAGTGGTATTTACCAYTTCAAGCTGTCTTCACTCCTGACAAGACAACTAAAGTTCGTCTGGTGTTTGATTCATCCTCCAAAGGGCATGATGGATTGAGTCTGAACGACCATTTAGAAAAGGGCCCAAATTACATCAATAATCTCTGTGACATCCTTTTGGCTTGGCGTTGGGACAGTGTCGCTTACTCTGGTGACATAAGGAAAATGTTCAACCAAATCACAGTTCATCCAGAAGATCAAATCTTCCACCGCTTCTTATGGAGGAAAAGCCCTCAAGACCCGCCTACTGTGTATCAGTGGCTCAGGCTGAACTTCGGAGACAAACCAGCCCCAGACATCGCCACCAATACGATTAACTTCCTCGCAAAGTCATCTGAAGACCAGTTCCCTGAAGCTGCAGCGGAACTTAGAGAACATGCATATGTCGACGATATTGGAGGTTCAAAGATGCAGTCATCGGAAGCAAAGAAAGTCATCAAAGACATCGACACAATACTGAGCAAAGGACAATTTAAAATAAAGGCCTGGCACTCAAACAACAGAGCCATAGACCAATCTGAAGGAGACCAATTCACTGATCTACTGGGACACAGATGGAACAAAGACACAGATACTTTCTCCCTCAAAAGAAATGCAATCACGGCACCTCATCAGAACTTGACGAAACGAAACTGCCTAGCACTCCTCGCTCAAATCTGGGATCCCATTGGTCTAGTGTCACCAGTAACAGTAAAGTTCCGAATCGATCTTCAAGATCTTTGGAGCTCAGGGTTTAACTGGGATGATGTCCTACCCGATAGCCTTCAACAAAAATGGAGAGAAAACTTGGAGGTAATGAATCATTTATTGACCTTCGAGTTCAAGCGACAACTAAAGCCTAGCAACGCAGTTGGTCCACCCGAAGTCCACGGATTCTCTGACGGAGGGGAGTTAGCCTATGGAGCCGTCATCTTCCTCAGATGGGAACTGAAAGATGGATCCTATAAATGCGTCCCAATAATGATTAAGCCCTTCGTCGCACCACTGAAAAAGAAGTCGATCCCGAGACTCGAACTGCTTGGATGCCTCGCTCTTACCAGGATGTATGACAGCTGTACGAAAG